TTTTTTTTTTTTTTTTTTTTGGTACGGGGGATTGAACTCGGGTCCTTGTGCTTGCAAGGCAGGCCACCGAACTGCTGAGCTAAATCCCCGGCCTTCAAGCTAGTCTAATAACTCATACTAGATTGATATTTTATTAATAAAGAAACTGAAGCCAAAATGTTTAGGCAACTGCCTAAAGTGATACAATAAGTATGTGATAGAACATTTTCAAACTGCAGTCCTTTGGGTTCTGAGTCTGAGCATGTTTATGAATATGTTTTATGATCACTGATTTTGCAGGTTGCAGCCAGAGAATGCGATTATCTTGGTGATAGCAGAATGCAAACTTCTTGAGACAGTTTGTACTTCACTATCCTTGTGGTGAAAACACAGTAGGTGCTTCACAAATGCTATATATGTGTTGTATGAATGAATGTTTGACTTAACAAGTCTCAACTATGTGAAAAGTACTATGCTAGGTAATTCTATATACAAACGTAAATTAACCAGTGGAAATGAAGAGTGTACTTTCATTCCCATTTGTCTTTCTCTTTTCATTTGCTATAATCCCTCCTCAGAAAAACTGCTACTGACATCGATGTAGAAATATTCCTGTGAGTAGATGAGCAAAATTTCCTAGTTTGGGCTCTTTGTAATTGTCTTAAAGGGGCACTTATAAGTCCAACAGCTTTTTTTCCCTAAATGAGGAAAAGCTGGTCTTTGAGTAGAATATTGTCTTTTCTATGGTGTGTTTGCATCAGTTATCTTTTGTCAATGGGACACAATAACCAACACCCACAAATTAAAAGATGTTTAGTATGGCTCATGGTTTCAGGACATTCACTTTATAGTCAGTTGGCTCCAAAACAAGAACATCACAACAAAGAGGTTTGGCAGAGAAAAACTACTCATATTACAGGGAACTACAAGCAGAACAGAGAAAATCTCCAGAGAGGAGGGAGCCAAGTGCCAGATACAGACTCAAGGCCACAGCTCCAGGATCACCCAGCTACACCAGGTAGTGTGCTTTGCAAATCTCTTAGATGGTTCCCAAGACAATTATGTTGGCATCATTAATTTTAACTCTCACTATGTTGTTTCAGTTTTTCTGCTTTCTGGAACTTTGGGATAATTTGTTTGCTCTGTGTAACTTTTGCTTTCAACTTCTCACTGCTGTCGAGGTGAATCACTAAGCAATAGGGGCGGTTATTAAATAGGTCATGCTTTGTACAGAAACTGTCAGAAAATTTTTCCCTGAGAGCCAAAATGACAACCCCTTGGCAGGAACATTTGCTCTCATTCCTCACAACTAAAATTTAGTAAGATATACAAAATATTGTGCACTATTAATCTATCAAATTATTTTAAAAACACTCTCAGCAGTGTTATTACAGTGCTCACCCCAGGGAGCAATAAGTTTATAGCATAATGCAAATTGAAGCAGTAAATAGGATAAACTTTTTCAATTATATTTGTTTCTAATACTATCAGAGACTATCCTTAATGATATAAATAATAGAATTTTTAGAAGAAAATTGTTTGATAAGAGTTGCTATGGAAAGTATTCAGTTTCCCTTAAGAAACTGTTTCCATTTTAATAATGCTTTACTGAATGTTAAAGAGTGGAAATGATCTTACTAGTGAAAGGTTAGAGAACCATAGACATAGAGTTCTTAAGGGAACTAAAGAGAACAAAGGCGTCTT